TTAAAGGTTTGGTCTTCCAAGATCAGAGAGCCGGCTTCCTTTAGTAGAAACTGCAGGGAGAATCAGATCTCTTTTACGGCGTGCTGATCTTGGGGACCTAACCCTAACCTATTTATAATTGGGCAAACATAATTGTAATTACAATTATACCCTTAATTAATATTATTAATTTGTCACGTTATCAAAATAATTTTATTATACGGGTAGCTGCACTTTCATTCCATAACAATCAAACCTATCAGTCAATAATTAATTATATTAATTAGACCACTTAAATAATATGACCGGATAAAATAATAACTTTAACAACATATTCGATACACATATTTGATCTCAAATCCAACAGAAATTTTTCACTTTTTTATTCTTACCATTCTCAAGTCTATTTGTTGTCTTTTCTCCTTCAATTCCTTCAATTTCATATATGAAAATTTTGAAATTAAAAAGAAGAATAGGGAAAGGTGCGCTGCGCTTGTGCTTGTCGGGAAAGAAGAGTTGGGAAAGATGGCGGCGTGTAGGAAGAACTTATTGATTTCACGAAACTTGGGTAATGATCCAAATAATTATTTATCTTTGGGTGTTAAGCCCAGTATAAAATTTTGTTCACTTAATTTTTTTTGGATTGAATTAGCATTTGGTTATTTAAACTAATTAATTTATTTAATTTATAGATTTGATTGTTTTGGATTGTACTTAATTTTTATATAATATATACAAATTAATTTTAATTAAAATTAATAGTATTTTAGAATAATTTATAGTAACTAATTGTAAATTTATAATTTAAAATAAATTTTTTAAGACAAGATTTGTACTAATTGTAAATTTAGTGTAGTTTTTTTTTTTTTATAACAAATTTTATAGTAATGGTAAAATTATCAATACAAAAAAATTGAATCAAACTTTATTTTATATATATACATATATATTTAATAAATATATATATTCTAAGTCTAAATTTAATAAATACTAAAATATATTAAAATATGAATTTTAGATATTATCTTATAATTATTCGGATTTTAATTTTAGAATTTACAATTATAAATTTAAACACAATTAATTTAGGCTTGGGGTTTATTATAAAGTAAATTAATATATGTTAAGTCATATAGTTTAAAAAATTTTATATAAGCAAATTAGTTATCTTAGTTGAACTTTTGTGTAAATTTGATTTATTAATAAATTAATATATATAATCTATCCAATTTACTAATAAATTACTATTTATAAATGTTTTAATAATTGTATTATTCAATTGCTTGTGTAAAATGGCATCACATAAAGATATTGGTTGGGATTATGCTACTTCTATCATCAATTATAGAAAAATAGCAAAATGCAAGTATTGTGGAAAAAATTTTCACGGTGAAATTACTATGATGAAACAATATATAACACATGTTATAGGTCTAGTTGAAATATGTACGAGAACTCCCAAAGAAATAAGAGAGTTTTTAAAAAAATACTTAAGCCAAGAAAAAAGTATGCGAGCAGCATATAAAAAAAAAAAAAAAAAAATAGAACCGTTCCACAATTCCATTCGTTTGGAAGATGATTATGACGAGGAAGAAGATGAGGTTTTTTAAATAAATGAAGATAAGATAGATGCCTTGAAAGAAAATAATTATAAATGAGCAATGGATGAAAGCAGACATATGGAATTTATGGAGCATTAGCGTAGACATTCTGTATCCCGAGATTTATCAACCTTGAATTTAAAAGCTGGTATACTTCTTGAATTTTAAAAAATATATTTAAATATTATTATATTTGTTTTGAGATAACAACTATAAATGATCATATTTTTTTATCTTTGTAAGAAGCAGTTCGAATAAAAATGAGATAAAATAATTTTTTTCGAAAGCTCTACAAAAAAGACAGAAGGTTTGTATAAAAAAAATACTTGAGCTATATATCTCTCAATTGAAGAATAATATTTTAAAAAGTATGTTCTCAAAAGATAATGCAAAAAAAGTGGGTGCAGCATTTTCATATATATATTTTTTTTCATTCTAATGCAATACCATTTCACGCGGTTGGTAGTGGTCCTTACTACCAAACAATAATTGACACTATTGCATCCGCTGGACATGGAGTTAAAAGATCTACTGGTAAGCAAATTAGGGGTGAATATTTGAACTAAGAGATGCAAGATGTTGTACAGTACGTCGATTCTCTAAAGCAAAAATGAAAACATATGGATGTACATTTATGTGTGATGGTTGGAGTACTCGCAACAAATATCCAATCATAAATTTTATGGTTTATTGTGATAGAGATATAATATATCACAGTTCGATCGATTGTACGAATAAGGAAAAGACTGCAGACTTTGTCTACACCTAATGGATAATGTTGTGGAATTAGTAGGGGTTGATAATATTCTACAAAATGTAACTGATAGTGAAACTAGTACGAAGGTTGCTGGGAAAACCGGATGTGGAAAAGGAAGCATATCTTTTTGTCTCCATGCGCTACTGATTACATTGATTTGATGTTAGAAGACATTGGAGATATATTGTAAGTGAAAGATACGATAAACGAAGCCAGAAGAATTATATGATTTACATACAATAGTGATAAAGTGGTCAATTTGATGAAAATATATACGAATGGCCGAGATATGTTACGATTAGGCATAACAAGATTTGCAATCGAGTTTGTTGCAATGAAAAGTCTTCTGAGATATGCAACTGATTTGAAAAGAATGTATACTTCTAGATAATGAATTGAGTACAATAATACCTCGAGAAGAAGACATGAAGCTGAAAATATAATTTTGAATGAAAGATTTTGGAAACGGGTACGCCGAGTTTGTGGGGTGATAAAACCCTTGGTGAAGATTTTAAAAATAGTTGATCAAAAAAAAAAAAAAAACTACACTACCTATCATTTATGAGACAATGAATAGGGAAAAGAATGACAATTAAAATCATAGTGAAAGATTTTCAGCAATATTGAGATATCATCGATGAAAGATGATATAACCAATTGCATCAAGATTTCCATGCAACATGTAATTATTTTTGTTACTTTTTTTTTCTTTACATTGTACTAATCATTTATTATATATATATATTAATTTCTAATTATTTTTCTATTATATTGTCTAAAATAAATACATTTTGTACATAATTAGAGAATTTGGAAGTGTACTTGATATTATAGTTGTTCTTACATCTTTATCATGTATGTATTATAAAATTTATAATTCAATTATATTTTCTAACATGTTATAAAATTAGTTGTCGTTACATCTTTATCATGTATGATTATAAAATTTATAATTCAATTATATTTTCTTTATTAATAATTTTTTATTTATTTTTAATAGTTGATTGGTGGAATATGTACGGTGATGAAGCCTCTAATTTAAGGAAAATTGCATAAAAAGTTTTGAGTCAAACTTGCACATCATCTAGTTGTGAGCGCAATTGGAGTACGTGGTCTTTGATCCATACTAAACATTGAAATATATTAGCTATTGAGAGACTACATAAACTAGTCTATGTCTACTACAACATGCATTCCGACCGAGACAATCCCGTATTCGCCGGCAGACAAGGAAAGTGAAAGTGTCACTTTCTACCCCTTGTTTCCTTTTGGAAGTGGGGCTCTAAGTTGTTCAAGAATAGTGGCGTTGAGTCCTTTGTTCAGCGGGGAAGACGTTGACATATAGCAAGGAGCAAGGGGGGGTTATCCTGCACTTGGAAGAAGAAGTCAAGCTTGCTTTACCGAGAACTAGACTTTTGCTTTCGGGTGACAATTTTTATGCAAAGGACAGACACAAACGATTTTTATAACCCCATTGACTTGAATCATATTTTTTATGAAAACGATATTTTAGATGAATGAGTCAGAAAAAATGAATCTCAACTTATTCATGATAGTGATTTGAATTGGTTGGATGATGCTATTGATGAAAGTGAAGATGAAAGTCAAAGTCAAAGTAATGATCATAATAACATTATGTTTTTATCTCAATTCATAGCTGATAAAAAAAAAAAGGCCAAAGAGAAAGAATTAGAAAACAAATACGAAAAAAAAAAATCATATTAGAATCTTCGTCTTCATCAACTAATAGCGAAGATAAGAATAATAGCAACAATGATTATGATAACGATAATGGTGGTGGTAGTAGTGGGAACTATAGGGATAACCGATACTCAAGTGATATGAAATTGGCTCTAAGAAATGAAAATCGTTACGCTACCAAAAACACTGATCATGGATATTGTCCTGACATAGAAGTTCAAAAGAGATTTTCTAAATAGTTTAACGTGAAGATGATGTTTCAAATTTTTCAGATACCAGGAGATATTCTGGAATTCATCTCTATTACTCGGGATACAATTTATCTAATACATCTTGTTCATGTAGTATTGATGATCGTAGACACAATTATGGTTCATCAAATAGAAGCAATGATAGTATAGAATATCCAGGTTTTGGTGTATATGGAAGTTGTTCATTAATAGAAATTCAATGTGGTTCGAACATCTCCCATTATCCATCCAGAAAAAGGATATTCATACTATGACCGATCAACAAATGAAAATGATTTTAAATCTCCACGACATTCTACTTAGTATTGAATAGTAAATATAGATGTCTAATATAACCATAATTTAAACATCTTGTAAAATTTTATTTGGTATTTTTATTTCTAATTATTTTTATTTATATAAATACAGATGATAAAGATGAAATGTTACATTGACGGACACAAGTTACATCATATTTCTTTTTTATTAAAATAAATTTGTCAGTATAATGACAATATGCAAAATTATAAAATTTAGCATTTACATTCATATATGCATATATGCTAATTGAGTTAAAATATTATTATAATTGAGTTAAAATATTATTTGTTTTAAATTTTACTATAAATTATAATATACTTTTTTTAATATTGTATATTTTTAAAATTAATTATATTTATGATTTGATGCATTTTAATTACTTATTATTATTTAAAAAAAAAAATTCATATAAAAAAAAAATCATAATAAGCCAATATTTGACCCATGTATACCACCCTAATCCTCTACATCCAGAGTGGAGTGGTAGTTGTAATTCACCAGCAGAGAAAGAGAGAGAGAAATGACGTTGCTGTTACTTGGATATAATCTTGAAAGAATACAACACAACCAGTAATTGTGAATTCAATGCCTTCCCTCACCAAGATGGTTCTTCCTCGACCATTATCCATTTTGTCAGTAGGGTTGAAAGACGACGTGCTGAGAGGTATAATATATAAAAGATAAGTAATATACATCCTAAAAAGTACAGTAGATGACGTACATATATATATATATGTGTGTATATATCATGAATATATAATTTATTACCTTGATCTGTGTTCTGTTATAAGTGTAGGTAATGTGAACTAATCCATTGCTGTCCTGGATGACAGCCGGATAGGAAAATTCCATTCCCAGAGTCTCCTCCAGTGTGGCAACATCTCGCCATGAGTCACCATCATCTTCAGAGATGGCGACTTTAAGCACCTCCCGGGAAATTGTATTGTACGCAAGCACAAGCCGCCCGTCCCTCAGCTTAACTCCATCAATTCCTATGCATCCATAAACAAAGTGAACATTTTCAAGAATTAGAAATACCCCTCCCAGTCAGGAGGCTAATTACGATGACAAAAAAGAAGAGGCTTTTCAAAAGCTAGCTAAAATGCACATCAATATTATTTTCATCCTATATTTGAATGGATCTGAATGTGACCTTGACTGAGACCATAGATGGAGTTTTACTCTTCCTCAGGCTCAGGGAGATGTGAGGCTCCAGGGCTTTCTAACATATACAATACCACCGGACCGGTTTTCGTGCCTACTAGTGCAGTCAATACATTCACTAAAAGGAGATAATTTTACCTAGTATAATATTATTAGTTATTTCAGCACAATAAACTGATTTATACTGCACAACACATACTTCCATATAGCAATATACTGTGCTACATAGAATCGTGTAGATATGTTGTACTATATAGAAGCATATGCAGATTGTCTTGATTATATATGATAATTGAGTCAAATTAGTTTGTTACAACTATTCCAAGTTATTGGGTTACAACTAATGCACATCTTTTTTATGATCTGTTTGCAGGTTTATTTAGTTCACAACCTGAGTTTGGATTCGGAAGCTCAATAGGCATTGCATAGTCCCAGATGTGGCCTCCGTCGCGTGACTCTGAGATGCAAATTTTGTCAATTCCGGTGAAGGATCTCAACAGAACACGCAAATGTCCTTTTGCAGTCTTGTAAGGAACAGGTTGAATCACACTGAGTGGATTATCCTTAATATATATAGGCCCATACTTGCTCCATGAATAGCCCAAATCTTTAGTAATCTGCTGGTTTTGTATCATCAGATACATAGCATTAGAATTCACATTAGAAAAATATGCAAGGAAATGACATTGTATAGAACAACCTCCATCCAGGCACCCCATGAATTCCAGCTCTCGACAGAGGACCCGCAGAGCAAATCCCCATTTTCTAGCAATATGGGCTGCAGAGAAAATTATATATCTTGAATGGTTAAGAAATGGTTACAATGAATGCAGCGTTACCTTATTTTTTATTGGTCCCAATATGCCAGGAGGAAGCTGAATTCTCTCTGACCAAGTGACTCCACCATCGGAAGACCGCTTCATACACCCGCTCCATCTGTATCAGCAGCACATTTAAATGCAGAAATTTGAGGGCTTGATAATTAACTTTTGAACATCTCAAATTGTAAATTGTTTGGCAACAGAAAGGAAACAGAAGGAATTGCATATGAGTCTAAGACTAACTTTTGTACTTCTTGTCCGATTTTATAGAATAGCAGTAGCTCATTGCATGGGTGCTTAAACAACACGGGATTCCACATAGGAACATTAGGTTCTTCATCAGCAATCAAAGGAGAGTTCCAATGGCCATCCTGTCATTCAATTTTGTGTTGAAGAATAAAAATGCTGGTAGGTAGTGAATCGAGCAGAACAGTTACATAGATGCATATTCTAACACAGTATATCCTGCTATAGTACTACATTGAAATATGACTACAACTAAAACGATAACCTGACATCTTGCTAGAGAGAAAACAAGAAAACAATTTTCAGTTTTCAGGATTTACATTATATGCATACATAATTACACACACACACACACACACACACACACACACATATATATATATATAGTGGAAAGCAGATAGTTTAGCTACAAAGATTTAGGAAGAGAAAATTGAAACGCAACTACTGAGTACAGGACGTAGACCAAAAGAACCAAAATATTCCGACTGGCTTAGCTCAATAGATGGTAAGGTCAATAATTAGAGCCTTGTGCCAAGAACTCTTCTTCATTGTAGCTCCACATTTATCAAAAAATCTGTTCATATTGTTTCTAGTTCTAGGAACATGTTTAAAACTGATATTTGTTGCAACTTATTTATTTTCATTTACATTAATGTGTATATATATGACTTATCCGAACAATAACAAATCTTCTTCTCCTCTACATTTAAAACTGATATTTGTTGCAACTTATTTATTTTCATTTACATTAATGTGTATATATATGACTTATCCAAACAATAACAAATCTTCTTCTCCTCTACATCTATATATTATACAGAACTATGGTACATTATTCACCTTGTAATTCTGGATCCAAATTTTCACATCAGCCGCTCCCTCTGCTGTACCACCAAAATAAGCAACCAAGTAGTGATTTTTACCAACCTATAAGCACCCCAAATTCACTAATATTATGTATTTAGCAGATATGAAGACAATAACCAATATTCAATTCCTTCATGCTACCTCAACAATTGTTGAAGCATGGCAACTGTTAAAAGGGGCTGAGTTAGCAGAAAAAGTGAACTCCTCAATAAGTGGCACCCAAGAAACACTTGTTTTCATGTTTGAAAATGCAGTGCTGTTTGTTTGTATACTTGGTGCGTCTCTGTACAAAGTTAAAGGTTAAATTCTAACAAATTGATATTAATATAAAAAGTTCAAAACAAATGCTTTGCAGCATGCACATATAATAATGCATAAAGCTAAAAGAAGTCTCACTTTCACCAAAAGGTGGAGTTACTACTCTAATAATGCTTAAAGCTAAAAGAAGTCTCACTTTCACCGCCTTGTTAAAATTCCAGCTTGATTTTCCAAGATTAAAGAAACTTAGATAAGCCAATAGTTGAAACTTATTTTGATCCCTCGTAAAGTCCTTGGATAAGCACAGGTTCATCCTTCCACACATCCTTCAATTAAGTAAATTTTTATATTCATATATTCACAATCTTTTATCAAACTCTGCCTCGTTATTATCCATGACAAATTCTATCTGATACATGACAGATCGCATTTCATTGAACATTTTCAATTATTCTATTCATGACCGTAGCATGGGATGGATGATTGACAAAGAAATTGAGTTCCATGGACTGTATCACCTTGACCACCTTCCACCACCTTCAATCCCAATTGCATGTTTTACTGCTAGTTCCCCTCAAGTTCCCCTCAACTACTACACCAACAGTTGGGTCATTCGAGTCTCTCTAAATTGCGCCGGCTTGTTCCAAGCCTCTCTAGTTTATCTTTATTGTCTTGTAAGTCTTATCAGCTGGGAACACAAACTCGTGTTTTGTTTCCCTGGAAGATTAATAATCGGGTTGATATGCCTTTTGCTTTAGTTCACTCTAATATATGGAGCCTGTGTCGAACTACTTCTATATTTGGTTTTCAATACTTTGTTACTTTTGTTGATGATTTCTCAAGATATACTTGACTTTATTTGATGAAAGCTCATTCCGAACTATTTTCTGTATTTGTAACATTTTATGCTGAAATTCAAAATCAATTTAATGTCTCAATAAAATACTTCGGACTGATAATGCCATTGAAAATTTCTCTACTCTGAAATCTTCTCCACATTGGTAAAAATGACCACTATCATATTGCTTCTCAGTATTTTAATTGCAGAGGGCTTGTATCTGAAGCAGTTAGATGTTAAGACAACATTTTTACATGGTGATCTCTATGAGAATATAAACATGGTACAGCCTCAGGGGTTTCAGTTGCTGGCAAGGAGAATTTGGTTTGCAAACTGAAGAGAGCTTATATAATCCGAAACAAGCTCTCAAGCAGTGGTATATGAAGTTTGAAAACTTCATGATGAGTTGTCGAACGGGGTGCAAGAGATGCGAAATGGACCATTGCTGCTATGTGAAGAAGTTCAAGGGTTCATACATCATTCTACTTCTCGATGTGAATGATATATTGATAGCTGGTACAGACATAAGAGAAATCAGTAAGTTAAAGCAACATATGTCTGAGGCATTTGATATGAAAGATTTAGGTCTAGCCAAACAGATACTTGGGATGAGAATAATTAGAAACAAGGATGGCTCCCTGGCGCTATCTCAGGAGAAGTATATCGGGGAAATGTTAGAGAAGTTCAACATGAATAGTGAGAAGACTAAGCCGAGAAACACACATTTGGGAAGCCATTTCAAGTTAATCAAAGATCAATCTTTGAGAACAAAAAAGGAAAGGCAGATATGACTAAAGTCCATTATGCATCTGCAGTTGCCAACCTCATGTATGCGATGTTGTGCACGAGACCAGATCTCGCTCATGTAGTCGGGGTTGTTAGTCCCTACATGTCAAATTTAGGGAGAGAAGACTGGGAAGCCGTCAAGTGTATACTAAGGTATTTGAAGGGTACTTCCAAGATGAAGTTATGTTTCACAGAGGCAAAGATATGATTCTTAGCTTAGCCAACCTGGATAAACCTGGATGCACTCAATGTGGAGAACTAAGAGCTTATCTACTTAATATCTGATCGCCCCTTTAGCACACACCATCTGCTTCGAAATCTTAGACTTCCATCCTGGCCAATATGAAAATCTATTACTTCACCTTGTTGCACCCTCGTCGCCAAGTTGAGTAAGTCATCATCGTCAACTTGAGCTTCCCGAATCTCCCTCAAAATCTCGGGCTCAACCGACAAGGCACCCATATATCCCTCACTCACCTCAGGAGCCACTACCTCAAATTGTAGCTTTTTGAACTCGTGACACAACTTCATAGGTAATGCCACTACCTCAATGTCTTCATCGCTTGTGTGCGTTGAACATTTTTCCGGTAAAATTCTCTTTGCAATTGATAAGCATTTTGAATTTGTGAATTTTAGACTCGTTGTCATGAAGAAAATGCTTGACTTTATTGTTGGTTCGAAGTCTGATGCTACAAGACTTGCTTACCCCGCCTTGATTACGTTATTTTTCTCGGAGAATGGCATTGTTGCTGGCCCGAATGAGGATGTGTGCTCTATTCGCTCATATATGCCTCAGTCTAACTTGCAGCGCCTGTACAATGACTTCCGTGATGAAGCCCCGTTAGACCCTTCTGAGCAGATGCGAATGAGTCGCGAAATGCTGATGGAGGTAATGCGTGAAAACACCAACCTCTCGAACCAACTGCTTGAGCAATGGCGGAAAATTGGTAGAGCTTTGAGTTTGATACCTTCTGCCCTAGCTGCTCCCGTGGAGCTGGATACCGAAGAGACCCCATAGCTGCCTTTTTGGCAAATGCTGCAAGTCAGGGGGAGAGGACAAGCAACAACCAAAAGGAGGTGCTAGAAAAGAGGGGGAGGTATTTCATTTATTTTGCTCTGATTTTGCTATCTTCACTGCCTGTTATTATGAAAAGTACTGTGATGGACCGTGGATTGATTCCATTTTGAAGGCTGTCTGTAGCCTTGTTATTATGCTAGTATGTAATAACTAGATTGATGGACTGAATGGTGCATGAAGTATGATATTTTGCATGCTTGTGTTTAGACTTGTACCATATGCCAAAAAGGGGGAGATTGTTACAAAAGTACCATTTCTTGTTTTGGCTTATGCTATTAACTTTTTCAGGGTATCGAAACTCGAGGACGACCCAAATATGGAATGCAGCAGACTGTTGGTGAAGACTTTTTGTATTGTCTGTTTGTACCCCTTTTGCACTGGTTTTGTCAAGATATGGACTGTCAAACATAGGAGAATGTTCAGGGATAAGACAAAACAATGTTGCAGGTTTGTGGTGGCGCATTTAATTCCCCAACATTGGTTAGTCAACACTGCATTGAGACAGTGTGTTTGTATAAACAGACTGTGAAACAGTCTTGTGAGAAGAAAGTGAAAAATAGAGTGAAAAATCTAGTGAGAGAAAGATTGCATTTTCTCTTCATCTTTTCGTTTTCACTACTCCTTTGATCTGAAGAAGAATACGAGCTTTCATGGAGATTTGAAGCTCATCTGAAGAAGGAGAAAAAGGATTTCCAATAGGAGAAAAAGATCAACTTGTACCTGCTTACTCTCAGTTAGACTGGTAGTCTGCTAGGATTAGAACTGCGGTTTAATCCCTAGTTTCTTGTACATTACGATGTAAAGAAGACTGTAGGAGAGGATAGCTTTGGGTCCGTGTTTGTTGAGTCATTGAGTCCATTGTATACTTGGTGATAGGTTTAGTGAACGTCTCCTGGATTGGAATCCCCCAAATGTAGGTAGTTACACCTAACTAGGTTAACAAATCTTGTGTGTTGTTTGTTTTATGTTTGATCTTAGCCAGCCATAGGCAAGTATCTGTGACACACACAAGAGTTATAACCACGGAACAATACCACGTGTTTCCGAAGTGCAAACCCCTTGTGGTTTTCTATTTCCGCTGCCATTAGACTCGGAGGAGTGTTGGCCTCTTACTGTGTACGTGTTCCAGCTCATGTCTTTCCTCGTTTACCCAACACTTATAATCGGTGTAAATTTTGCAATGTACTCCATAAAGGTAATGTCGTCATATCTTAACAGCAAAAACTACAACCGCCATATCTTAAGAGCAAAAACTACAACCGCCATGTCCAAGTCGTGAATCGGATAGTTTTCTTCATGCAGTTTAAACTGCCTCGAAGTATATGCTATCACCCTTCCATCTTACATCAACACACACCTCAATCCACATCTTGATGCATCACAATATATATCAAACTCCCGTCCATCTATCAGTAACGCCAACACCTATGCAGCCATCAATTTCCATTTCAACTCTTGGAAAGCCTGCTCACATGAGTCATTCTAAATGACTTTGACATTTTTCTTCGACAATGATGTCAATGGTTTTGCCAATCGTGCAAATTCTTGCACAAACCTCCATAATACTTGGCCAATCCCAAGAAGCTCCTAATCTCTGTCTGGTCTATGGTCGGCGCCAATTTTCAATAGCATTCACCTTTGATGGGTCAACCGAAATACCATCATTCGAAATAACATGCCCCAAAAATGCTACTTCACTCGACTAAAATTCACACTTCGATAATTTAGCATACAACTGATGTTCCCTCAATACCTATAGCACTAATCTAAGGTGATTTGCATGATCCTCATCGCTGGAATAATACACCAAAATATCATCGATGAAGACCACAACAAACTTATCCAAATATGGTCTGAAAACTCTATTCATTAAGTCCATGAAGGAAGCTGGAGCATTCGTCAGCCTGAATGACATCAATGTAAATTCATAGTGCCCATAACGAGTCCGGAATGTTGTCTTTAGAATATCGCCATATCAAATCTGAACTTGATGATATCCCGACCTCAAATCTATTTTCGAAAAATGCTTGCTCATTTCAGTTGATCACTTATTCTTAACGTTAACTAGATTCAGTCCTCGATAATCAATGCACAATCGAAGGCTACCATTCTTTTTCTTAACAAACAAAATGGATGCTTCCCAAGGGAAGTTACTCGGCCGGATATACCCCTTATTCAACAGCTCTCAAAGTTACTCATTCAATTCGGCCAACTCCTTTGGTGCCATACGATACGGAGCCTTAGACACCGGTTCTGCTCCTGGAACTATATCAATTGTAAAATCTATCTTACGATGAGGCGGCATCCCCGGTATTTCATCAGG